TATGCAACTGGCTGAATGATAACGCATGCCAGCTAAACACGTGTGCACATTGTCCTTTTCAAAGAGAACCGCTTCACTCACATCCGATGACGGTTTTATTCCGTCCTGTTTTGCTACACAGAAAATAGTTAATATGAGAGAACAATGGGCCAGGTGTAAACACAGGTGCACGATGCTATGACCTATAAAGCGCTCTGTCACACCCTTTCTACTGGTCCATTTTACTGCCATTCTACTCACCACTTTTGAGTATTCCACAAACGGCACCCAGAATGTGAAGAAGCAATAGGTCTTAATATTTTACAGACAACTGCAGAGCCGGCGAACCTGGCGATCAGTAATGCTTCTTTATTGACCCAAATATTCATAATCATTTACCTACTTGATACGTGTGATACTGCTTCAATCAGCGATGCCCAAATCCCATGAATTCATACACACATACACGCAAGAATCATTGAGGTACAGATGGATCTCAACTGTTTGAACAAATAAAATTCAGCGTACTTCCTGGGCACCCCTCTTCTCTGAGTCTGAGTTAGACAAAGATGCAAAAGACCCTTGGCTGACTAGTTTATACACGGTCAGACGAGCAAAACATCACGACCCGCGGAGTCCTGAGCACCATTTTTACGATCGACCTGGCTTGGCTTTCTTTTGGCTTGACAGGCTGTGAGAAGTCATCCACAACAACTAAAGCCACATGTGGAAAATCGTCTGAATGGAAGTCACTGGAAGTCAGCATCCATCAGCAGACTCGCAGACGCGCCCGACGTTTGAATCATAACCGACCGCTTACTTTCTTTGCAATGCAAGGGTCGAATTCGCGTGTATTTCCATCTACCTGCGTGAACCAAGCTGGCGAAATAATACTTTGACATGACAGTGGTGTTATCAGTTGTGTTCAATAAGGGAAAACATTGTTGTCCTCCATGATTAGTTAGTTATCACACTGTCCCGTTTTCGGATGTAAACCAGCTGGGCTTAGCGGTGCTACAGGCATAAAGATGAGGTAGACTCCTTGTAGTGAGGATGACAGTCAAGAGTGCGTGAGGAAGCCCGAAAATGAAATAGCTGCGGAGTGTAGTAGAAAGTATGCCACAAAGCTACTGCTTCAAGCTCATGTCTCCGACTGAGATTGGTCAGCGTTCAATGGCACTTCGAATCCTCTTAGGATAATTCACGAATTCAGTGAGTACGGAAGCAAAATAGTCTAAAAGTTCAGTAAAGACAACTCTAGGTAGTGGGTTTTAAAGCTTGAGTCTTGTAGATTGAATGGAATGGAAAAGCTGCCTGGCAAAATCTCTATTTTTGCTTATGGATTAACCGAGTTCGAACTAGCATACCACCAGTTAAATATCCCTCTGAATGTTTACAGGTTTTAGTCCAGTTTCAGCATGTGAATGCAGAACTCTGTTGATGCAGGGATATACACTCGTCCCTCCTGGGGTGCAAACAACATAGTAAACAGACTTTCTGACTGTTCCAGACAGTCACCTTTCTTTGGGGTACGCTTATTTCAAACGGAAATAGACACCGAGAAATACACTCGCTTGCAAATCAATTTGGTTTTTAAGAGAGACTCAACTGGATCTCTCGTTCGGGTTCACTTTCTCCAACCCAGATTGATTTAATATTGTACTAAAAGTGGAGCCCCTCCAAGAATCCTAAAACAGGAAATCAAGGGAACAGGAACGTGTAATATAATCCAAGTTAGACGCACTACACTACACATAAGGTGGCTGAATAATCTTCGACAGCCGACAAGCGGTTTCGCCCTTCTTGAGGCTCCCTAGGTGGGCGAGGTCCCCCACTTGAAACCAAATTGCACGAAATTAGCGAAGTACACTCATTCGCAAACAAATTTGGTTTTGTGGGAGACTTACCTGGGACCCAACTGAATCTCCCGTTTGTGATGTTTCCAGGCAACTGAATGTGCTGCACCAGGCCGCTTCACGCTTCACTCGCTACGATATGCCAGATATCGCGACACACGTATCTTCGTAATAAACTACTCACAAGGCTACTTTAACACCCTCGACAGCCCACGACCGGTTTCGTCCTTCTTGGGGCTCATCAGGTAGGCGCAGTCCCCGAGTTTCCATCAACTTTATGTTCTACTTGAACCCGAACGAGAGATTTAGTTGTCTCTCGTGGAAACCAAACTGATTTGCAAATGAGTGTATTTTGCCAGTCCAATTCAATTTGGGTTCAAGTAGAACTTAGGGTTGACGGAAACTCGGGGACTGCGCCTACCTGATGAGCCCCAAGAAGGACGAAACCGGTCGTGGGCTGTCGAG